TTAAAATTAGTCCTATTTTCAGCCAAACTGAAAGCTGATTTTGTTTAATGACATATCAACACCTCTATGGGTCATTCAATGCTGAAATCTAAATATTTTGTACATAATTTTATGCTTTCAGAGTAAAGGTATATTTTTTTTAGATATATACTCGGTTGGCCAGAAAATGTCTGACTCACTTAGGAAGTGGAAAGAAAACAACAAATCTTAATCTGTCTGGTCAAATTTCCAAAGAGTACTGCATTTCAAGCTTGTTCCACAAAATCATGCCAGCGACACTGAATTGTATTGCCAACAGTTAGACAGCATGTATGACAAACTAAAGAAGGGGTATCCTGTTTTGGTCAATTGAGGTCAGGCTTTATTTCAGCAAGACAATGCAAGGCCACGCCCTGCCAGGTTGACTAAGGAGAAATTCAAACAGATGGACAGAGTTGAGATTCTTCCACATCCACCATTCAGTCTCAATGCTGCTCTGAGTAGCTATAGCCTATTCTGCTCAATGTCACACTTCCTTCACGGCCAGCGATTCAACACTTTTGATGAAGGAAGCATGTTTATGGTTTGTTTTTAAACTAGAGTAATCTCTGGAATAGAAGTTGTCAGGTCAAGAGAAGGGAACTCAACTGGCATTTGCTGTGGTATACTGCATTTATAGCAGTACCTCATTTAGATACAATAAAACCTCCCTGAACTGAAATGGCCTTATGCCCTTCATTGATCTTTGATTTCTTCTCTAATTATTCTTGGGAATCTAAACTGTCTTTCTTGTTATGTATCTTGATTTCTTCTCATAGGGAGTTCATTTTCCTCTTCCAACTCCTTGTCAGATTTCTGGTCACTATCCTCCATAGATTGTTCAGTTTCACTACTGGATTCATTAATCCTCTCCTCCCCTCCATGTTCTTCACATTCAGATTCCTCATCCATTTCTATATCCTCTGGTTCCATTCTGCTTCTGAATTAATCCACACGGGCCAGTACATTTTGTCTATTTTTCATTAGTATTGTCTCCTTTCTGCACTACAAAGTTCGCCTTCTCTGGATTAGATTCTTTGTCTTTTTTATACCATACACTTTCATTTGTAGAAAATGATATTGTTATGGTAGCTCTAATCTGTCTACCCATTAATGCGAAAAGACTTTGTAGTCTGCTTGCATGTGGAATTGTCCTATAGCTTAACAGTAATCTTGTTAAGTAACTCTCTATATTATCATTAGATGGGGAAAATGCTTTTAGTCCCATTTTCAGTCTGCACCATTCTTTCTACAATTCCATTCAATTGTAGGTTGTAGGGTGGTGTTTTATGCAAGACGCATCCAATACGCTTTAGCCATGAGCACAAACTTTCTTCACAAGATTCTGGTGCATTATCTGAGACCAAAATTTTAGGCACCACATTCCTTGAAAATACTGTTCTTAATATTTGTTTTACAGTGCTAGCTTATCTGTCAGCAACCTTAATTACTTCAGGTCATCCTGAAAATGAGTCCAGTAAAATTAGAAATAACCTCACACCTTTAATATGAGTATGATTCATGTATACCTGAGCCCATGGTTCTTTTTCTTTAGGCAAGAAGTGAATTTTGTTTTGCCAAAAGTTATTTATTTCAGCACAGTTTGGGCATCTTTTTACATAATCTTCTACATCTCAAGAATATCCTGGCCACCACACTTGTAATTTTACTCTCATTTGTGTTGCTGTTACACCACAATGTACATCATCATGTACATATTTTAGTATTTCTTTTCTTTGTGGGAGTATTATAATATCTCCATTGCATATTATGCCTTTCTCTAGTTATGTTTTGATTCTTTGTAGGGTCTTTCTGCCATTAAACAATTGCTCCATGTGTTTCTTTTTATTCTGTCTGAAATTTTACTTGATCTTGTATGGTTTCCATTATGAAACAATTTAGGGGCAATATGTCTGTTTCAACCCAGTACAATATTTTATCTTCTGAATTTTCAGATGTTTCTAATTTTTCCCTGTTAAAATTTAGTCTGTAGCACATCCACATGTGGAATAGTGCTCCCTTTTATGTATATGATGTTGAAATCAAAGGCTATGGGTTTTATAGCCCGTCTTAAAATTCTAGAAGATATGACTTTTGATAATTCCTTTCTGGAGTTAAATATAAACTCTAAAGTTTTGTGATCTGATTAACAAAAATTTTTGTCCTAACCAAAAATTTCAATCTCTTTCTGTGCTCCATACTATTGCTAACACTTCTTTCTCAGTAGTTAGCTTCACTTGATGTTAATTTTCTTAATAGGTACATTATTGGATTGGATGACCTTCTTGAGATAAAATTACAGCTACAGCATGTTCACTTGCATCTGTAGTCAATGTTTCTTCTTTTTTGGATCAAAGATTTTTGCAATCAGTTTTCATATTAGAGCATTTTTAAGCTTTGAAAAGTTATATTTTTCCTTTGAGTCCATTTAAATTCTTTATTCTTTTACCATAATTCTGCAAACAGTTCCATTAAGTTGCTGTATATGGATAGATATTTGCTATAAAAATTGGTCAATCTCAGGAAGGATTCTAATTTTTTTTATTTTTTCATTTAGATACTTCTGATATTTTATTTATCAGTTTATTGTCTGATGAAATTCCTTCTTTAGATAGTTGGTATCCTGAATATTTTGTCACAGTTTAATTCACATTTATCACTATTTATTGTCATACCAGTATTTTTTTTTTAATTCCTCTTTACTGTAATATCGTCTTGATATATGATTATATTTTTTTACTTCCACCATTAGAACTTTTTCAATTGCCTTTTGAATAATATGGCTTGAAATCTAGACTCCAAATGGAAGATGAATCCATTTTAGTAAGCCTATCAAGGTATTGATTGTAGTGACTTCTTTAAATTTTTCATCAATTTTGATTTGGTTATATGCTGAGTTCAGGTCAATCTTGGCAAATATTTCATTCTTACTAATTAATGACTTACCGTTTCTATGTTAGGTAAGGGGAATGAATCAAAGCATATCTGACGATTTACCCCCTACTTTGTAATCCCCGCATATCCTCAAATCCCCATTGGGCTTTCTTATCACAATTGGTGAAGACCAACTGCTACTACCTTGGGTAACTTTTTCCAATGCACCTTGTTCTACCATTTTCTTTAGTTTTGCAACTACCATGGGCAGAATGTGAATAGGTATTTTTTGGAATTCAAAATAGATCAGGTGATTATTTTCTTTTAGAGAAATACTCACTTTATACCCTTTTAACAGTCCTATATCAGGTTCTTCTGACTTTATACAGTTTATTAGTTTCACTGTATCCACTTTTAAGAAGTTTGTACCCAGGAGTCTATGATTTTTTTTGTACATTCTGAAACAGTGATGGAAATAATCACAAAATGTTTTTTGTTTCAAAACTTTCTTCAAAGATCCATCAAATTGTTTTAAATTAAGATTACTTTTTCTTAATTTGAGTTTACCCATTTTTTCAAAGAAATTCATTGAGATCAAGGTAACATCGCTCCTTGTGTCAACCTGAATGGGAAAAGTTATGCCATTCAATTTTACTGTCTCTCTATTTTTTCCTGTTGTTCTTTTAAAATATAATTTTGTATTTTCAGTATTAGTGTTTATACTTTCTACCTTTTCTATTCTCTTTTTGTATCTGAATACAGAATGGAAATGGTCTTTTCTTTTACAGTTTAAACATAATTTTCCTAGGGCTGGACATTTGTGTGTTCTTTGCCGCAATATTTGCACTTAATTAGGATTTCAGTTGTGTTGTACACTTCCATATTGTTTTTAGAATTATTAAATTCATTAATTATTTCTAATTTCTGCAAGAATTCTACACTTGCTTCTAAATTCATATCATTCACTTATAGCTGTTCTAGGATCTTATGTTTGTATGTAATGTCATACAAGCCTCCAATTAATCTTAAAAGGATCAATTCGTCTTCTATAGACATTTCTTTCGAACCTAGTTTTTCAAATTCACAATATCTTGAGGCTTCTTTTAATCTGTGTAAATATTGGATTACAGTTTCATTTGGGTTCTGTCTATTTTACATAAATTTTGTTCTCTCTGCAACAGTCAGCTTTCTTTTTCTTTTTTGGTCGCATGTTTCTTTTTATAATGGTTGAAATTTCCTCATATGTTAAGTCTTTCAGTATTTTAGGGTACACCATAATGGATATTTTCTTTATAGCTTCATATCCTGCCAAAGCCAAAAATAAATCAGTAGTTTCATTCTCCCCGCAAGAGGTTTTCTTGTCTTTCAGTTTCTTTATCCTAGCCAATGCTTCAAAACATCTAATCCACATTTCTATATGCTCCAGTTCATCCAACGTGGTTAGGGATCCTATTGGTGATGGCATATTGTTACGAAGTAGAATAATCTTTGGAATAGACATTGTCAGGTCAACAGATGGCAGCTCAACTGTCATTCAGTGGCATACTGCTTTTATAGCAGTATCTCATTTACATACAATACTATAGTTTTTTTATTCAAAGCCAATGGACTGATATCTGGGATAGATTTGGATGCTGGCTGATCACTGGCAGAAGATTGTCTAGAATGATGGACTTTATTTTGAAGAATAAATTTGGGTGTTGCTCCATAAAATTTTGTTGTTTTCTTTCTGCTTCCAAAGGGAGTCAGGATTTTCTGGCCAACATAATAGTTTTTCGATCATAAAATGTATTGTTAGTAATTTTACTATAAAAATGTATTTTTCTTTTTTTAGTGTTGCATTGATTTTATTTTGCTATAAAAATGTATTGGTCATTTTATTATAAAAATATACTGTTATTGAAGGCAGTTCACTATTTGCTCATAGCTGGGACCCTAACAGGTGCTACCACCCCAGGTAAAAGTGAACCTGGGAACAACAGCAGTTAAGAGGTGGTTCCACACTCCTCAAAAGCTTCACTCTCCCAATCAGAGACCTTGCTACCAGATGTAGTTTATCGTCATACTCAGGACAACCAAATTGAGAGTAAACATTCCTTTGCACCAACCTTTCTGCGTGCACCATTCCAAGAGAAGGAGAAGGCGAGTGCTTCCTTGGCAAGCCATGAAGTCTTCCAGCAGCAGCGGGCACAAGATGCACAAACATGAAAGGGCGTGGAGTTGAAGTTCTTCGTATTCTGCCACTGACCATTCTCGCCTGGGAGCAGTACTTTGGTTATTACGTACAAAAGAAAATAAGGCCAACAGGAGGCGACCCTCGGTCAGGATCTGTAAATAAATCAGCAATGGACGTATGTAGTATATAATGTCAGCCTTCAGCCAAACATTAAAGGTCAGGGAGCAACTGTTTATTGAAAAGCATATTATTGGCATTCCACTGACTATCCACTCTTTCAAATTACAAAAGTTTTTTATACAGATGACTTACCAGTTATTTCTGGGATCTTCAAACACATCCTTGTTTGCAAGGATAAAAAAAGTACTTATCCTGACTGCATTAATTCCTAACCACTGACAATTGCTTTTTTCATTTATCTGTGGTTGACTGGGGCAGGAAATGGCTTGTAAATTTGAATGCCTTCAAAATGAAACTTCTCTCATTTACTCGCCAGCATAGCTGATGCTCAACTTCATGAGAACATCTCACTGCACCTTCTTGGTCTCACGTTTTACACTGACCTGAGGTGAAACAACTACATTGAATCAATAACTACATATACTCTAAAGAAAGTTTGTTCTCTGTGTCGTGCCAGAAGGTTTTTCCGGCCTGAGTCCATCCTTCAAATCTACAAAACTACCATTTGTCCTTGCATTAAATACTGCGGCCATATATGGTCTGGTGTCTCCGCTGTTTATCTCAAGGTTTTCGACAAAATCCAAAGACAGATATGCAATGTGATATGTCCTGACCTGACAGTCAATTTATTACAGACATGATGTGGCTTCCCTCCGTCTTTTCTACAAATATTTTCATGGCAACTGCTTTGATGAGTTATTTTCACTGGGGCCCCAACTGCATGAATTTAAGCGTGCTACTAGGTTGGCATCTCAATCCCACCTTTTTACTGTCAAAACAGTTAAATGTAACCACCTCTTCTACTCCAACAGCTTCTTCTCTCACACTTCCTGACAGCAGAACTCCTTTCCTCTTACTTGCTTCTCTGATAACTATAATCTTCAAAAATGTAAATGTAATGTCAATCGACATCTTCTGATGCCTTGATCTTGATCCCCATCCTTCTGTTTATCCTTTCCTCAAAAACTCCTTTTTTCTCTTTCTTTCACTCTCTGTAATCTCTTGCATGCTAGTGGCACACCCACTTCATTTGGAATAAAATGCTTAAAAAAATGTTTAGCCATTATAATAATAATTTCTTGTCAGTAAAATTTTCATTAATTCCAGACCACTGACAATACATTTTTGCAATAAATTTTTATAATAAAAGTTTATCTATTATACATATAATAGCTCTATTCTATCAGTAATGCTTGCATTAATTCCTGACCATTGACAATACCTTTCTTCCTCATTTACAATGGATGTCTATAGTAGATTTTTTATATATAATAAGCCTATTCTGTCAGTAATACTTGCATTAATTCCTGGCCACTGACAATCCCTTTCTTTCACATCAGCTTTGAATTTCTTTAGTAAATGGTTATCTAGTATACATACAGTAGCCCTATTCTGACAATAATGCTTGCATAAATTTTCGACCACTGACAATCCATCATTTGTAATACATTTTTATAGTAATTCTGTTAATAATGTTTCCATTAATTCTGAAGCAATGACAATCCTGTTCACATTCACATTTTTATAATAAATATTTTGCCTGTTGTACAAAAAAGCCCTATTCTTTACATGACACTTGAATTAATTCCTGCCCACTGACAATACCTTTCTTGCTTATTTGCAATGCATTTCTATAATTCATATTTTTCAGTAACATATTTATTAATTCCTACCCAATGACATTATTTATATTTAAATTTATAAGAATTTACTTAAGCGTTTCTTAACCAGGAATGAATCCCCTCCCAGGAAGAATTTCTGGGCTTCAGCCAGAAAGTAAAAATTTTTTATTTTTTCACAAGTTTCTCATTAAATGTAATCTCCATCTAAATAAAATAGATTTAAATACCATGACCTTGAATTTTCAGTTTACTGAATTACAATACTCTTGCATTCTATTGAGATTTTTGTTTATTGAGGTTGTAGTGATAGCAATAAATAAATTCCTAAATAACCTCTAAACTTTAGTATTAGACCATGCAGGAGTAGGAAACCAGAATAATTAATAATTAAAGAACAATTAAAAATTAAATAATAAAATTACTTTAAAATATAGATAACAATGACAATAAACAATGAAGAAAGGAAAAGTTAAATTATAAAAAATAGTTAAATAAATACTGAATCCTCCCATGATGCACCGGAACAGGCATTTTGCCACCAACTGGAGCAAAAATCAAATTTTCTTTTGTTTTTGGACATCAAAAAGAGCAGAGACAGCTTTCTGACAGGTCACATGGCTACCAATAGATAAGCACAAACCTTTTTATCTCTGTTTACATCTGTATTCTTTGAAATATTCAATTTTTTTCCCTGAAATGTATACTGAAGCCTTTTAGCATTTTTGTTTATGCTTAATTTGTTTGTAATTTACATATTTCTATTGTGGGGCTAATGATATCTTTTTTACTCCCAAACAAATTACATATATAAAAAAAAAAAGAAAATACATTCAGACAAGGCTGGCATATCAGCAGAACAACCTACAGCAAAGTAATTAGTTAGAAAATAAAACAATTTACTGTACACTTGCTCAAGTTTAAAAATTCATTAATATTTTCTATTGCTATTAAATTTGCAAAACACCTCCATAAAAATAATCCATGTAAATGTCTATGTGGAAAAGAATGAAAATTTTCAATAATATTTTTTTTAATCATTTCACCCCAGGCAAGGTGGTAATGCCACTAGTACACCGGGGGTTACAGAGAATGAAAGTGAAAGAGAATGAGAAGATGAGAATAGGGAAGATTGAGGAAAGGTCAAAAAAAAAAAAATAAATAAACAGAGAGGACATGGCAATTGATGTTTCATTTCAATTTTGGAAGATTGTAGTTATTAGGGAAGCAAGAAAGCAGAAGGGAGTTTCCCTGTTGAGAAGTGCAAGAAAAGAAACTGTTGGAGTAGAAGTAGTGGTTACATTTAACCATTTCAAGAGTAAAAGGGTGGGACCTAAATGCCAATCTAGTAGCACACTTAAATTCATATATTCGGAAAAAACTTGTCAGAGCAGTTGTCATGAAAATCTTTGTAGAAAAGAAAGAGATAAGTCCTGTCATGTCAAGAAAGTGATGGAAGTCAAGATGCCTGCTCAGGATCGATTACGTTACAGATCTTTCTTTGGATTTTGTCAATAATTTTGAGATGTACAGCAGAAGCACTAGACCAGATATAGCAACGGTAATTAATGCATGGATGAATAAATATTCTAGAAGGGGAGAGAAGGAGGATGACTCCCCAAGTAGGTTAACTAATGAGAAGGAAGCTCCATAGCCTGACGGAGCCATGGCCGGTATTGAATTCAGAGTTTTTCCTCCTCCTAGACCGGTTGCCATCCAAGGCTATAGAACCCAGTCTGCCCTGCTATTACCCATAGCTGAGGGGAGAAGAAGAGGATTCATACCTTTCCATGTAAGTGAATGTAATGGATCCGACTGAAGTTCGAACTCAGCTCTCAATCCAAGTTACTATCCATTACTCCACTGTGCCTCCATAATGGTAGATTTGTAAATGTGCAAGGTATATTCTGATGAGAAAAATTTTCTGGCATGACACAATGACCCAACTTTTCTTGCAGTAAGTGAAGCAATTGATTCAATATAGTTGTATATGCATATTATTTGGAATGCACCTTTTTGTGTCAGACAACCATGGAAAGCAGAGGAATGACATTCTGACATATGGGCATGGACAAAAAAGGTTGAGAACAACTGATTTAATTGGTTTGAAAATAGGTAAATATAGGTAAATATTGTTTGTTTATAGTTTTGTTAGCCAAACCAAATAGATGATTTCAAATCTATATGAAAAAAATAATCCAATGAAAGTCTTAGTTAATAAAGAAAGAGTGAGGGATAAATTACACAAATTGTTGTGAAATACCTGTTCGGAAATACCTGTTCAGAAATACCTTTTAGTGAAATACCTGTCCGGAAATACCTATTTGGAAATACCTTTTGTGAAATACCTGTTTGGAAATACCTATTTGGAAATACCTTTTGTGAAATACCTGTTTGGAAATACCTATTTGGAAATACCTGTTCGGAAAGTTCAAACTTGAAGCCATTAACTTTGTCAGAAATATAACACCTGAAATTCCCATCCTCCATTGTTAACAGTTTAATGGAGGATTTGGAAAAGACAATCTTTATCTGTTTGGTTTGACTCATCAGAAAGAAATATACATCTATAACGTAAAAGAAGAGCTGATTGTATGTCCATCATAACGGTCTGTGTGTGACTTTACATGCGCATGTGTAATATAAATATATGTCTGTGCTGTGTGTGGGTAACATATGTATCAGGTCATCCCATATTTCTGTCTGAATTTTGAATAAAAAAAACAAGTGACCAAATGTTAAATTTAATTAAAGATTCAATCAACAATGTATTTTCCCTGAATATCTATGACTTCCTTCCATCTATTAACAAGCTTACTAATTCCATTACTGTAAAATACTTTTGGCTTTGATTCGAAGAACTCACAAATGTCAGTTTTAACCTCTTCCTGTGTTACAAAAGCTGTTTCTTCCAAATGATTCTGTAAGCTATGAAACAAATGGTAGTCTGAAGGAGCAAGATCAGGAGAATAAGGTGGATGAGGAATTTTCTCCCAACCAAGTTCTTCGATCTTTTGTGACATGATTCTTGCTGTGGGGGGTCGCGTATTGTCCTGATGAAACATCACCTCTTTTCGATTCACTGGAGCAGGTCTTTTTTTCTTCAAAGCTTGGTTCAAACGCTCTAATTGCTGACAGTATATTTGAGCATTAATTGTTGCATTAGGTGGTAAGAATTCAAAGTGGATTATTCCTTGGCGATCCCACTAGATTGAAAGAAGAACCTTTTGCCCATGAAGTTCCCTTCTCAGCTGTGGCTGGGGTCCTTCCCCTTTACCAAACCATTGTCTGCGGCACGCTTAACATTTTGATAAAAAAAGATCCATTTTTTCATCGCCAGTCACAAGTCTATCAAAAAATTGAAACAAGTTGGCGAGAATGGAAAGAAGAGCAGATGTCAACTCGGGATTTGAGGTTGTTTTCAGACAATTCATGAGGCATCCATTTTCCAAGTTTAGAACTTTTTCAAGTTGTTGAAGATGACGATGAAAAGTTGTATGGTTTGAACTGAGAACCACTGCCAATTCCTCAACTGATAAAACAGGATTTTCTTCAAGGGCTGCTTCAAGACGCTTTTCATCAAGCTCAACTGGACGTCCAGTTCGATCTTCATCTTCAAGGGTGAAATCTCCATCTTCTGCAAGTTCTTTCATTCACACATTCCTCTCCATAAACTGAGTGAATGTTTCTCGCCGCTTCGGCTGCTGAGTTTCCTTTCTTGAACTCATAAAGCATTATGTGCCTCAAATGATTCTTGAGTACTACCATGTTAGCAGCGTTTTAATCCAACAAAATTTAATTTTATTGTTCTCTGAAATAAAATTTGATCAGTTTAAATGCATCTAAACATTAAAATAATGTTCAGCTCCATTAGACATTATAAAATACTCTTTAAATTTCGTTCATTTTAACAAAAAGTTAAAATTCAGACAAAACTTATGGGTTGACCTGATATATGTGCCATTTAATCTAGACACACAATTTGACTGAGTTTCAAATAAGACAATGGAATAATACATTCCTGCCCCACTAAGTCTGGACAACCTCTACACTGAGCTGAGCAATAAAATCATATACTTGAAGTCAAAAAAGATAAAAATGTCCATTAATTTTTTAAACTTTAAAAAATCAGATATTTATGAGATTTTATTGAACTTTTTGGAAATTATTCAATAATAAAATTATTTTTTAAAGTTATTATTTTAAATTTTGCAGGATTATATTTAGGTCTTGAATTAAAATATACACACACACACACTTTGAATGAAATTGAAATGGACATCTGTTTTTCAAGGGCTAATAACTCATTTTGCCTGGCAACAACCCCTGGTTAAAAGAAAATTGTATAAACCAACCATTTGAAGTGATTTTGAATGATTTTTTTTCTGTATTTAAACTGAATATATTTTGTAAAAAATGTAGTATTTAAAATGGACAAATAATTTAGATTCAAAATTCCACTATTTTGCTGTTTATTTTCACAGTTGCACCCTCTGGACATCCTTGGATATAAAAAAATAGGAACTAGACAATATCCCAAGACATGGAAGTGAAATGATAACAATCTACCCCTGCAGATTACATAAAGCATTCAGTTCAGAATTCCTTGTAGATCAAGATACAGCTGAGGAAAGCCGGAGGGCACAACATCTGAAACATTCTGATAACAACAACAAAGATGAGGACAATAGTCCACAATATAAATAATGTAAATAATAATAACTCCTGTTTCCAGAAATAGCGTCTGAACAAGTACTTACGGGTAAAACAGACGGATATTTACTAAGTGAACAAAGTGTCATGTAGAGGAGTTTCTTCATCTCAAAATCTTCATGGCAGGCTGTAATCTGCAAATGCTTCAATAAAATGCTGTGGCTTTTTACTGCAAAGAAAACCAAAAAAAACAGTTACAATTTTGTGTTTACAATTCATGTTTCTTTTTTATTATTTCAAGAGAAATGCAGACTAATTTTTTCATCTTAATAGATCTTTGCACATTCTTTTCATTTTTGCCTTTCTCACCTGAAGAGTTCATTTGGGTGGGGGGGAGCTTTTCTCTTAACACTAAAAACAGTAGTCGTGATTCAGATCGGAAGAAACAAGAAGACATCATAGAGGGATTTTCTGGTCATGATGGAAGGAGTGAAAAAGGCCTTTGTTAAATAGTGGCTGATGAGGATAGACAGACAGATAGATAAGGAAAGGTGATAGATAGATAGATAGATAGATAGATAGATAGATAGATAGATAGATAGATAGATAGATAATGAAGGGAGATAGATAGATAGAGAGAGAGAGATAGAAAGAGAGAGATATGCAGCAAGAATTCATGGCATAATTTGACCATTGAGCTCAAAAAAACTGTTATTACTGTCTACCACTGAGAACTTCATCAGCAATGTCTATTTACAAGAAAAGCAGGAGCACCAGACCATTTGTGGTGGCAATATTTTAAGAAAGACAAATGGTAGATTTATACATATATATGTATATATATATATATATATATATATTAAAGACATTTTTATGTTTAACATTCTTTTTATAGATACAAGTATTTTAGTAAATGCTCTGTTTATAATAAACAGTATTAAATAATATTTACCGGCCTGAATGTCCGATAAATTTTCATAGAAAATATTCGTCCTTTGACAGGATTCGAACCTGTATCCTTAAGGTCTTAATGTATGACGTCATTTGTTTACATTTGATACGCCATGAGCAGTTATAAATGTACGAGATTCATGGAAGATTGAAGTTTATAAGCAGTAAATTCGATCCTTTGTGGCCGAGAGGTTAGGCACGTCAAGCTAAATCACAGTTCCGTATAGGATGCAGGTTCAATCCTGTCAAAGGATGAATATTTTCTATGAAAATTTCTCAGACATTCAGGCCGGTAAATGTTATTTAATACTGTTTATTATAAACAGAGCATTTACTAAAATACTTGTATCTATAAAAAGAATGTTAAACATAAAAATTTCTTTAATAAATTGTTGGACTTTGTCCATTTCTTAATGTATATATATATATATATATATATATATATATATATATATTATTGTCTAACATAACTCGGAAAACCAATTTTTTTCTTTTTTTGCCTTTGGATAAAACATCATTAAAAGCTACTGACAAGTGATCCATCTACTAGACAATACATCCCCATTGCACTGGTAGTTTTTTGAAAAGTTTATTTCATGGGATCAAGCACCCATCTTTTTGGACACCAAAATTTTACAATTTGTAAAATGTTGTAGAATATTTTGGTCAGAGAAGATGGGCGCTTGATCCCATGAAATAAACTATTACCTAAATGGATTTCTAAGGACTCTGCTTTCATTATTATATTTGCTCTGTTCTTACATTGAGCTCTCTTTGGATTTATATCCTCCTTGGAATTATCCCTACCAATTATCAAGTAATATTATTAATATATATATATATATATAGTTTATTCAAATTTAGGTAATCCGTATGGGTAGACATGAGGAGGATGATATCCAGAGAGCTCAATGTAAGATTCAGAGCAGATATGTTTGAATAAAAGACAGACCACGTTAAGATTCCATGTAATAAGCTATTTCACCATAACCCCTTTAACAGGGTTCTGGATCATCAGACTTTACTTCCAAAAGCTGAAATGAAAAATGAAAAGAAAATTCACAGGTTTTTTACGGACCTCATCAAGTATACGCAAAGTTAACGAAGTGAGAAAGTGAGGTGGGAGAGAGGATGTGAGTGTGCCATATGTATCATTTTAGTTTTCTATTTTAACCCCAGTGTGTCGGCTGGATGTTGCTCTAATCTAACGCGTCTCGTCTCTAGATAAAGGTAGTTAAAGGGTGGGCGATAAAGGCTACATTGAGGAAGACGCGTTATAACAGCCCCAATAAATTATCCGACAGGTTTCATTCAAATTCCTAGACGCTGTTAGTTCGCGTTACTTTAACGTGCATATTTGGGAGGTTAAAGTTTGATAAATATCTAAAATTTTAAAAACAATCTACGAAGAAATTAATTTGAAATTAATTTCTTCGTAGATTGTTTTTAAAATTTTAGATATTTGCCTTATATAAGACTTTTGCCTTTGCGTATACTTGATGAGGTCCGTAAAAAACCTGTGAATTTTCTTTTCATTCTTCATTTCAGCTTTTGGAAGTAAAGTCTGATGATCCAGAACCCTATTAAAGGGGTTATGGTGAAATAGCTTATTACATGGAATCTAACGTGGTCTGTCTTTTATTCAAACAAATATATATATATATATATATATATATATATATATATATATATATATAATTTAAATAAGGTGTATTTCAGCAGCAATAATTCTCTCAAACATATTGTGGTTAAATAATATGGACCAGTTCTGTCTATCAATTTCTTTATATAATTTTTCAAATTTCCAAAATAGGTATTTTGTTTTGTGTTATAAATTTGTTTAAGGTCATATTTATTTTTATCTTATGAGGACAATATATAGAAGAATTCCAGTTTGACTGTTTATAAGACATAACCCTGAGCGATTTGAAATTGGTTTCATTAAATGTAAGAATGCCAAAATTAAACAAAAACTGTTCCGTAAATATACACAGAACAATCCTTGAAAACGAATGTAGCAACATTTGAAATTATTCATGGAAACAAAATAATATAAAATAAAAATAAATATGAACTTTGGCAGATTTACCGATAACACAAAGCACCTAATTTGGAAATTTGAAAAATTAAATAAAAAGATTTATAGACAGAACTCGCTCATATTATTCAACCTAACATGTCTGATATATATACAGAAAGTATCAAAAACACTTTTACAAACTTTGGGGACCGGTTTGTCACACCAAAACAAGGACCGCAAATCCTTCGTTTTTGAGTTATTAAGTTTAAAGTTTACAGTAGACGCTGTTAAATGTACAATCCAAGATACAATCCAAAAATACTTTGGGGGCAACATTTCTGACCCCAAAACAATGTAAAATGTCAATATAAACATATGTCCAAAATGCCATCACTGTACCTCAACACAGCAACTCATAACAAATGTTCAAAATGTCTTCCGCTTGCTTTTACACACGGATCATGGACTGGCAGACCCTTTCAAATACTCTCCCACGGTGTCAAATAGTGTCGCAGGCCCCCATAATACTCCCCTACGGTGTCAAATAGTGTCGCAGGCCCCAATGACACATTGATGAAGCATCTCAGCATTATTAATGTCTGCTACATAAACCAATTTTTTTAGGTGACCCCCCACAAATGTCGGAAGGACATGCAGGTCATAGAACCAGTCCTCACCTACCTATCCATCTTTCAGGGACTTTATATGGACTTTTGCCTTTGTTTTGTTGTGAAGACCCCACCCCAAAGTTTGAAAAAAAGAATTTTTGATACACGCTATATATATATATATATATATATATATATATATATATATATATATATATCATGACTAACAATTTCTTTCTGCATGAAACTCAAAGTTGTACTAAACGATGAGAAACAAAATGTATATTTATTATTAGTTTAAATTTTTGCCATGTTATTTTACATCGAATATTGTTTTATCACCATCAGTACTCACTGTACACTATGTGCACTCCCAAATTTTAATTGTAAACCGCAATTATCAGGCAGTAATGAGGAACAGAGAATTACAGGCCAATGGAGGGGGGTACAGTATATAGGGTGGGAGTGTGAACGAGTGTTGATTGTGAGGGAGTTCCAGTTCTCAGGCACAATGTAATTGCAAAATGACTTCATTATTGTATAAGTCAATAGTGATGAGAGGAAAATGTGACATCAACATCCAAAGGCACATTGCAAAAGCAAAAGATGCCTTCCAAAAGTTCAACAAAGTATTAAGAAACAGGAAAATTTCATTAGAAACAAAAGAAATAGTGCCAAACTGTTATGTAATATCAATCCTTCTATATGGCAGAGAATGCAGAACAATTTCCTCACAGGTGAAGAGGAGACTTGAGGCAAGAGAAATGTGGTTCTACAGAAGGATGCTGAGAATACCAAAGACTGAACATGTGAACAACAACAAAGTTTTTTAGGAAAAAGTTAAAAAAAATTACACTTATACTTAGAATCAGAAAGAGATAACTGAAATTTATAGGACACCTAATGAAGAAAGGAGGCTTGGAAAAGTTGACACTCACAGGACACAATGAAGGCAAGAAGGACAGAGGAAGACAGCAAGTAACTTATATAAAACAAATGGCAGATCAGAAAATGGGAGGGATGGTAAAAAGACAAACATTGTTGAAAGCTATAAAGGACAGGAAGTTGTGGAGAGACATGATCACCTACCTAACAAGCTTCTTAAATGGATGGGAAATCAGAGGGGATGGATAGTAAAAATACAAACATTACAGAAAGCTACAAAGGATAGGAAGTTGTGAAGAGCCATCACTACCTATGTAATGAGCTTGTTAAATGGATGGCAGATCAGCATGGGAAGGATATTAAAAAGACAAACAATGCTAAGAGCTACAAAGGATAGGAAATTGTGGAGAGCCATAATCACCTACCTAACGAGCTTGTGTAGATGGATGGCAGGACAGGGACTGAGAGGGATAGTAAGAGTACAAACACTGCTTAGAGCGACAATGGATAGGAAGTTGTGGAGAGCGATGATCAATCTACCTCATGAGATTGTGTAAATGGAGAGCAGAAGAAGGAACAGAGTACAAACATTGCTTAGAGCTACAACAGATAGGAAGTTGTCAAGAGCCATCTCCTGAAGAAACACAGTACATTGAAAAAGAAGGTTGTAATATTAAATATAAATGGAAGTTTTATATGCCATCACATATAAAAGGTTTGTTAAATTTTAGAATCTTCCAGCAGAAAAATATAATGTTCATTGATCTTTTATTTTGAGAACTTTGTACTCAACATCAATCCTTTTTTGTCAGTCAAGCTGAAACTGTTTTTTTTTTTTGCGAGGGGGATTGAATAGTACAAGAAAACTTTGTAGAAGGAAGAAAAAAAGTCACCTTCTGGAAAAGTAGCAAATAAAACAAGATGTCTGACCAGTCCACTTTCCACAAATGGAGCCTTCTGCGTATTGGCAGCAACAAGATTTATAATAACAAGAATGTCATTGCGGAGTTGGCTGTCATAGTTGCTGTAGCCCTGGGTCAGTTGATACATGAACGCATTTTGCAATTGGCTGGAAAGAGAGAAAAATAAAATTAACATTTAGAACTGTAAAAAAGCAAAAATTAGAATGTTATTTCCTTTCAATTATTCACACTATCAGTTTACAGCCGTCAGCAAACAGCACAGATCAGAAAGGATTTCAATTTAAGTCTCAATTAAGCTATCAGTGAGACTTAAACTGAAATCCCTTTTGCTTTGAGAAGCCTTAGTTCCCATGACGTTTCTACCATTGGAACTACAAGAACCCTACAGCTTTTAACTCCACCTTCCATTCTCTCTTGATCACTCAACACCATATTGTTTGTACATATGAAGGTCGGCTGAAAAGTTCATAGGCTAACCAAGATACTCTCATGGAATGTGGTTGTTGTAACCTAGGGAAGGTTACTGAATAGAATAATCAAATGAAGGTTGGTAATGAATGATAATACTTAGGACAAGAACAACACATATAAGATTTGTCAGTGGCATGTAGAAGAAGTAGTCATCTGCTAGAAGTGAGTCAAGAGAATTTTACAATGAATCTCCAACTGCAGACCAATATACAGTATTTACTACTGTACTTATGTAAATGGGGACATACTCATTATTATCCATAGGTATGCTACAACAGTGACTAAATGTGATTTATTTTTCAACATAGTCTCCCTTGCGGTCTACACACTTCTTCCATCAATGTTGCAATGTTTTCATCCTGAAAAAAATCATCAACAGCAAATATGACAGCATCATCATTGTGATACTGGTTCACAGCTAAGTGTTTTTTTCATTTCGAGGAACAGATGATAGTCAGATAGGGCCAAATCAGGAGAATAGGGAGGGTGATCAACCAGTCCAAAGCTACAGTCATGCAGATCAGCCATAGAAATCAAGGACTTGTGATCTGGAGCATTGTCAGTTTTTTTAGGCGTTTGATCATGATAGTCTTTTGAAGATAGTCTATAAACACAATGCCTTTTGCATCCCAAAAAACTGAGGCCATCACTTTCCCTGCAGATGAAATGATCTTAGCTTTTTTGAAGCAGGTGCGGAAGGGTGTTTTCACTGCATGGATAGTCACTTTGTCTTTGGTACAAAGCAATGAACCCAATACTCATCCCGGGTTAGGAAACATTCAAGGAAGCCAGCTGGATCTGCATCAAACTATGGCAGATTTTCCCATGATGTAATCAGCCTGGTATGATTTTGATCACATGTCAAAAGATGTAGCACCCACCAAGCAAAAACCTTTGTCATGCCAAGTTCATTGTACAGAATATTCTCAACTGTCTTACAAGATATGCAAATAACATTAGTTATTTGATTTATAGTCAATCGCCTGTCATCCATCCCCATGTGGTGAATATGATCAATATTTTCCTTGGTGGTGGCAGTTGCAGGATGTCCAGACCTTGGGTCATCTTTAAGGCTCTCCCTTCTTCTCCTAAATTAGGCTGACCACTTTTGAACTGTTGATAAAGCTGGAGTGTCATCCCATAATGTAACGAACATGTCAGCAGGAATATCATTGTGGTTAAAATCTTTTTTCTGCAGTTACTTGCTAACACCACAATATCAAATTTTGTCCATTTTCAAGAGAAGTCACTACTGGTTACATTTAAAGTCTTTTTTGAACAGTCAGATATCAGTTTACCTGGAAAGAAACAATGCAGTTATTAATAAGAAGAGTTGAAATGAATGCCTGCAAGATTTCACAGCTCTAGCATCACTTGTTCCCCAGTTAGCCTATGAACAATTCAGCCCCCTTCTTACATGGAAAGAGACAATGAAGTTATTAATATGACTTGAGCATCAATCCTTCAAAGTCAGCCTATGAACTTTTCAGCCCACCTTTGTACCTGGAAAGAAACAATGCAGTTATTAATAAGAAGAGTTGAAATGAATGCCTGCAAGATTTCACAGCTCTAGCATCACTTGTTCCCAGTTAGCCTATGAACAATTCAGCCCCCCTTCTTACATGGAAAGAGACAATGAAGTTATTAATATGACTTTAGCATCAATCCTTCAAAGTCAGCCTATGAACTTTTCAGCCCACCTTTGTACCTGGAAAGAAACAATGCAGTTATTAATAAGAAGAGTTGAAATGAATGCCTGCAAGATTTCACAGCTCTAGCATCACTTGTTCCCAGTTAGCCTATGAACAATTCAGCCCCCCTTCTTACATGGAAAGAGACAATGAAGTTATTAATATGACTTTAGCATCAATCCTTCAAAGTCAGCCTATGAACTTTTCAGCCCACCTTTGTACCTGGAAAGAAACAATGCAGTTATTAATAAGAAGAGTTGAAATGAATGCCTGCAAGATTTCACAGCTCTAGCATCACTTGTTCCCAGTTAGCCTATGAACAATTCAGCCCCCTTCTTACATGGAAAGAGACAATGAAGTTATTAATATGACTTTAGCATCAATCCTTCAAAGTCAGCCTATGAACTTTTCAGCCCACCTTTGTACCTGGAAAGAAACAATGCAGTTATTAATAAGAAGAGTTGAAATGAATGCCTGCAAGATTTCACAGCTCTAGCATCACTTGTTCCCAGTTAGCCTATGAACAATTCAGCCCCCTTCTTACATGGAAAAGAGACAATGAAGTTATTAATATGACTTTAGCATCAATCCTTCAAAGTCAGCCTATGAACTTTTCAGCCCACCTTTGTACCTGGAAAGAAACAATGCAGTTATTAATAAGAAGAGTTGAAATGAATGCCTGCAAGATTTCACAGCTCTAGCATCACTTGTTCCCAGTTAGCCTATGAACAATTCAGCCCCCTTCTTACATGGAAAGAGACAATGAAGTTATTAATATGACTTTAGCATCAATCCTTCAAAGTCAGCCTATGAACTTTTCAGCCCACCTTTGTACCTGGAAAGAAACAATGCAGTTATTAATAAGAAGAGTTGAAATGAATGCCTGCAAGATTTCACAGCTCTAGCATCACTTGTTCCCCAGTTAGCCTATGAACAATTCAGCCCCCTTCTTACATGGAAAGAGACAATGAAGTTATTAATATGACTTTAGCATCAATCCTTCAAAAGTCAGCCTATGAACTTTTCAGCCCACCTTTGTACCTGGAAAGAAACAATGCAGTTATTAATAAGAAGAGTTGAAATGAATGCCTGCAAGATTTCACAGCTCTAGCATCACTTGTTCCCAGTTAGCCTATGAACAATTCAGCCCCCTTCTTACATGGAAAGAGACAATGAAGTTATTAATATGACTTTAGCATCAATCCTTCAAAGTCAGCCTATGAACTTTTCAGCCCACCTTTGTACCTGGAAAGAAACAAACAATGCAGTTATTAATAAGAAGAGTTGAAATGAATGCCTGCAAGATTTCACAGCTCTAGCATCACTTGTTCCCAGTTAGCCTATGAACAATTCAGCCCCCCTTCTTACATGGAAAGAGACAATGAAGTTATTAATATGACTTTAGCATCAATCCTTCAAAGTCAGCCTATGAACTTTTTCAGCCCACCTTTGTACCTGGAAAGAAACAATGCAGTTATTAATAAAAAGAGTTGAAATGAATGCCTGCAAGATTTCACAGCTCTAGCATCACTTGTTCCCAGTTAGCCTATGAACAATTCAGCCCCCTTCTTACATGGAAAGAGACAATGAAGTTATTAATATGACTTTAGCATCAATCCTTCAAAGTCAGCCTATGAACTTTTCAGCCCACCTTTGTACCTGGAAAAGAAACAATGCAGTTATTAATAAGAAGAGTTGAAATGAATGCCTGCAAGATTTCACAGCTCTAGCATCACTTGTTCCCAGTTAGCCTATGAACAATTCAGCCCCCCTTCTTACATGGAAAGAGACAATGAAGTTATTAATATGACTTTAGCATCAATCCTTCAAAGTCAGCCTATGAACTTTTCAGCCCACCTTTGTACCTGGAAAGAAACAATGCAGTTATTAATAAGAAGAGTTGAAATGAATGCCTGCAAGATTTCACAGCTCTAGCATCACTTGTTCCCAGTTAGCCTATGAACAATTCAGCCCCCCTTCTTACATGGAAAGAGACAATGAAGTTATTAAGATTTGAAATGAATGCATGCAAGACTTCACAGCTCCAGCATCATTCTTTTAACCTCGTATTTACCTGAAAACAGGTTTAAGAAACTTATTTGCTAATTTTCAACTTACAATAACACAAACTGTTCGGTCAATGAATGCTGAATGTTTTTTGTATGGAAACACTTCATCTAACCATCACCATTGTCATTGTCAAGTCATAGTTTATAGATATAGAAAACAAAGAGGCACAGTAGAGTAAGGTATTGTGGCGGACTTCAACCACATTTATTTAATTTTGTTTAGGAAACCAAACTGATGTGAAGAAAGGACAAACACAACTGATATATATAAACAAATATATGTATTAAACAAAACATTTACAAAGCACATAGATAGTTAACATTGTATTTGCATACATGTGTGGACATTCGTATTTTGGTGAATGTTCGTGGTGAATGTTCATACATACGTGTATGTTGGTAATGTTCTTTAACGTCTGACCGCAAGGTCAAGACAATAATTCTTTGGGACTACATTTTGCAGCAAGAATAGAGAAAAAGAGAGATTTACCTCACCTCCATGCGAGGTGGGATTCGGCATGAGGCCTGAAGGAAAAAAGAGAAAGAGGTAAACGTGTTTGTTTTTATAGATTGCGTAATCACGTGACAGGATCAGAACGCTTTGGCGAAAAACTTGACTTAGTCATGTGCTGGAAAAATATATTTTGTGTGGGTGGATTGCAATGCCCACTTGTGTGTTTATTGACCAATTAGAAGCTGATATTTCCTGAAAAATATTTACTAAGCTTAGAAGGCTCTTGGGATCCAATTCTCCCAAAAGTGCACAAAATCTATTATACGAAAATATAGTGATTTCAAAATTGTCACATAAGATAGCAGCGTTGATTTCTATCCAGTGAATGATTGTTATTAAAATTTGAATTTGTGTAGGTATGTATATATGTGTGTGATGATGATGATTATCATCACAGCATA